TCTCCCCTGGTCCTTCTCTTCACTAGACTGGCCATTTTACAGAACTGGAAACTGAGGCTGAAAGGCCGACAGGGGAAAAGAGGGTTTAAAAATCCAGAGAGAGATGGATGCTCACCACTGGTTCCTATTTCAAAGGTCGCTCCTTCTCTCGCTGTCTTTAAAAATCTCTTTGATGGCTCACCAATTCCGCATTGCACTTTGTTCCCGTTGAGCTATTGCTGAAGGCAAGAATATTATCAGTCTGGGGGTTTTCTGCTAAGACGGGTTCCCCCCCCCCCCACATACACACACCCTATACAAGAATCCTGCCATCCATCTTTCCAGACTCCGTTTCCAATATTTTACCCTTGGTTCTCTTTTTTTTTTTTTTCCAGCTTCTATGGATTCTTTCTGCTGTCTAAGGGAGGTGGGACACAATAATTGTGATACCGTGCACCTTTGAGACAGCATCGGCACCTGAGATGGCCCGGACAAGTCCTTGCGGTTTTCTAGGCAAGGATTTTCAGAAGCGGTTTGCCATTGTCTGCTTCCTAGGGCTGAGAGAGAGAGACCGGCTCAAGGTCATTTTGTTGGCTTCATGCCTGAGGCAGGACTAGAACTCACCGTCTCCTGGTGACTGGCTCAAAGACACCCATCAACTTTCACGTCAAAGGAAGGACTAGAACTCACCGTCTCCTGGTGATTGGGCCAAAGTCACTCAGCTATCTTACATGTCAAAAGCAGGACTAGAACTCACTGTCTCCTGGTGACTGGCTCAAAGACACCCAACCAACTTTCATGTCAAAGGCTGGACTAGAATTCACCGTCTCCTGGTGATTGGGCCAAAGTCACTCAGCTATCTTACATGTCAAAAGCAGGACTAGAACTCACTGTCTCCTGGTGACTGGCTCAAAGACACCCAGCCAACTTTCACATCAAAGGCAGGACTAGAACTCACCGTCTCCTGGTGATTGGGCCAAAGTCACTCAGCTATCTTACATGTCAAAAGCAGGACTAGAACTCACCGTCTCCTGGTGATTGGGCCAAAGTCACTCAGCTATCTTACATGTCAAAAGCAGGACTAGAACTCACCGTCTCCTGGTGATTGGGCCAAAGTCACTCAGCTATCTTACATGTCAAAAGCAGGACTAGAACTCACCGTCTCCTGGTGATTGGGCCAAAGTCACTCAGCTATCTTACATGTCAAAAGCAGGACTAGAACTCACCGTCTCCTGGTGATTGGGCCAAAGTCACTCAGCTATCTTACATGTCAAAAGCAGGACTAGAACTCACTGTCTTCCTGGTGACTGGCTCAAAGACACCCAGCCAACTTTCACATCAAAGGAAGGACTAGAACTCACCGTCTCCTGGTGATTCGGCCAAAGTCACCCAGCCAATTTTTAAACCTAAGGTGGGACTAGAACTCACCGTCTCCTGGTGACTGGCTCAAAGACACCCAGCCAACTTTCATGACAAAGGCGGGACTAGAACTCACCCTCTCCTGGTGATTGGCTCAAAGTTATCCAGCCAGCTTTCAAGCCTAAAGTGAGACTAGAATTCCCAGTCTCCTGGTTTTGAGCCTGATGCCTTAACTCAGTGGTCCCCAACCCCCGGTCTGCGGACCGGTGCCGGGCCGTGGAGTACCTGGCACCGGTCCGCGCAGCGGCCGGGGGACATGAACGCTGCAGCGCAAAGGCTCCTGGGCCGTGCCCCCACCCCTGCGCGCGCTCAGCGGGCCGCGGTGATAAAAAGGTTGGGGACCACTGCCTTAACTGATACCCCAAACGGGCTCTCCATTAAGAGACCTATTGGCAAAAGTTTGTTGCAGCAACCCCAGGAAACAGAAGAGAGGCATGTGAGATGGGAGAGAAAGTATTTTTACCCACCGACAAACCAGGAAACGGGCAAAACCGAGTTCCTATAAAGATGGATGAGGTGGTTGAAGCCATTTTATAACTCTCTGGCCTTAAAGGAGAAACTACGCTGCTTGGATGGCGTTGCCTTTTCAGTTAAGTGAAACCTCCAGGTTCAAGAGCAGTCTACCTCTGCCTCCCAAAGCAACAGATCTGTGGGGGGCAGGGGGAAAGGGAGCCAGCAGGAAACCTTTCCACAAACATCAGTTGTCCGCTGTAACACACAGGATGCTAGCTTAAAACAATCCCCGAATTCAGCCTTTCCTATTTTTAGCAGCTATCCCTTCGCGTTTCATTTATCAAAATTTGGAGGCGAGGCAAGATGCGTTGAGTAGCCAAAATAAGCACGAAAGGCCCACAAGAGAGTGGGGATGAGGGGGAAAAGGAGATGGACTTGGCTGTTGTGTGTTGAAACCTGTTTAGCCCTTCGACTTGATCTTTATAATAAAAGCATCTCGTTTGTGGACTAGAAACACGCCCCAAGATTTTTTAAAATTATTATTTTATTTTTTACCTTGGATCCTCAGCCCAATGCAGAACCTTTTGCCTTAAAAAAAAAAAAAAGACTGGATTGGCTTCTGCAGAACGACCAACTCGTCCTCTCTTAACAACCGATTTGAACGGAGGTTAGAAAAGGGTTTTTTTTTTTTCAAATGTTGGAAGTGTGGATGTCATTGAGGTACCTTCTTTCACATGTGGTGGTCCTGTCCCGAAGCAATGAGGTATTGGAGAAAAATTCAGAATTGGCTACAAGAAATCAACCAATGAACAAATCGATACCTGGGAATACTAAAGATGAAACATCAGGGGAAAAAAAGAGATATCTAATCATACATATACTCACTGCAGCAAGAATAGCCTAGGCCCAATATTGGAAAGGAAAGGACACACCACCAGAGGAATATATTATTCAGAAGGTTCTAGAATGTGCCGAAATGAACAAATTAACATTAGAATTAAACGAGAAAGAAGACTCCGAATATTATACAGGGGTGGGATGATTGGTACAGGTGGATCGATAATAAAGAATAGATAAAAGTTAATCTAAATCTTAAGATGCGTATATAAATTACGTTATATGACGATGAAAAGTAAAAGAAGAATCAATCTAACCCGTGTAGAAAAAATAACAGTCTGACTGATTGTACTGTATTGTGTTATAATAAAATTCAATAATTTTTTTTTAAAGAAAAGAAAGGGTTTTTTTTGCCTGCGCTTTCCGAGAAGTGCAATTCAAGACGTGAGCAGACTTATTTATATATTTCCCAGCCTTCGCGTGAGGGGCTATTCTCAATCCTCAAACTGATCCATCTGTTTCTCGGAGGAAGGAAAAAAAAATAATAATAATGCCGCATTCGAATTGCATCTCTAGGAACGGGTTGCCTACACAGTACTGGGTTGTTGGGTGTTGTTGTGGGTTGTTGTTTTTTTCCCCAACACTCCCCCTTGTGCAAATATCCACCACATGTTGTTTCCAGCCTGTTCATGACGTCAGATTAAAAGTCCGGTTTTAGCAGGCTGGATCCTCAGTTGCACTTTGCATGATCTCAAAAAAGGCAGAAAAATCGAGATAATAAATTGGTTGACCATCAATGGGTGGTCAGAAGGATGGAAGAGGACCCCCCCTCCTTTTACAACAGGGAACTCCGCCCCAGTTTCAACGGAGAAGCCATAGAGATAGGAACAGCACTTAAGACTTATATACCACTTCCCAGGGTTTTACAGCCCTCTCTAAGCGGTTTATAGAGTCAGCCTATTGCCCCCCGCAACAATTTAGGTCCTCATTTTTCCGACCTCGGAAGGACGGAAGGCTGAGTCAACCTGAGCGGGTGAGAATCAAACTCTTGGCAGTGGGCAGAGTCAGCCTGCAATGCTGCATTCTAACCTCCGTGCCACCATGGCTGATAGATAGACAGACAGACAGACAGACAGATAGATGTAGGTAGGTAGGTAGGTAGGTAGGTAGGTAGGTAGGTAGATAGATAGATAGATGTAGGTAGGATAGATAGATAGATAGATAGATAGATAGATAGATAGATAGATAGGATCTCACATTGCTCCTGGAAGCACGAAGCCGAGAACACCAGCCTGAAGATGACAAATGAGACTTTGTCGAAACGTCGCCAAGACACTTCCAATTTTACGTGGGAGAAGACCCGAATAGCCAAAGACCTACATAGATAGATAGATAGATAGATAGATAGAGAGAGAGAGAGAGAGAGAGAGAGAGAGAGATGATAGATAGATGATAGATAGATAGATAGATAGATAGATAGATAGATAGATAGATAGATAGATAGATAGATGTAGGTAGGTAGGTAGGTAGGTAGGTAGGTAGGTAGGTAGGTAGATGATAGATAGATAGATAGATAGATAGATAGATAGATAGATAGATAGATAGATAGATAGATAGAGGTAGGTAGGTAGGTAGATAGATGATAGATGGATGGATGGATGGATGGATGGATGGATGGATGGATGGATGGATGGGCGGAGAGACAGAGAGAGCAATTATCTATCGCTTCACAGTGCTTTTACATCCGTCTCTAAGCAGTTTACAGTCAGCCTATTGCCCCCGCAACAATTTAGTCCTTGACCTACAACAGTCCGTTTAAAAGCCAGCCTTCAAAAGCTACGGCACTGAAAATAGTGACTTAGGACCAGGGGTTTTTTTTTTCCCCCACACACACACTTAATAACCGTTGCAGTGTCCCCACGGTCACGTGAGCAAACTTCAGGTGCTTGGCAACTGACTCGTATTTATGACGGTTGAAGGGGTCACACGCGATCCCCATTTTGCGACCTTCCGCCGAACAAAGTCAATGGGGGAGGGGGAGACAGATTCACTTCCAAACCGTATGGCTAACTTAACAACTGCAGCGACTGCGGCGAGCGAGGTCGTAAAACGGGAGGATGGGGAAAACGCACACACAGGAACTCTCTCGCTTAGCAACAGCAATTTTGGGCTCCATTGCGGCCGTAAGTTGAGGACTTCCGGTATCTCGATCAGTACCTCCCCCATCCTCAAATACCATCCCTTCCTCCGGATCAATTTGCAAAACGCAGAATGCCCCCACGGATGCCTTTGACCCACAGTGGACGCCAGGATGCGGTTTCCAGCTTTTTTTTATTATTATTATTATTATTCTCTTTTAAGAACCCCTGAGGAGAGGAGGAGGAGGAGGGGAAAAAAAAAAAAGAGAGAGAGATTTGGCAGTATAACAACACAGTTTCGTTTTTGGGCAGAGAGGCGAGCATGAACTGAAAGGGATGCCGGTATAAATAAGTTGAAGGTTTTCCGGTGAAGTTTTTAGGAAGGTTTTTTTAAAAAAAACACACACACACACACACACAAAAAACAGCCTCTTGCAGGAACCCAAGAAAGTGCGTTCGGCAGCCTCAGCAGCGTCGTTCGAACGGATGTTTGTGTGAAAGTCACTGCTGTTGTCATCACGACTCCCCACACACCCCCACCCCTTGGCAGATGGCTTCCATCTCCAACATTTGAGCTGTGGAGCAGAACTCGTCCCCTACGCTAGCTGCAAATTCCCCCCGGGGAAACCTTTCGTTCCCCTTGGCAACGCCGGTGCCCGGGTCAAAGCCGGCGAGTGGGCTGAAGAATGAATGCCAAGAGTCCGGCCTCCGCTTCCCTCCTCGTCCTTCGAACCCAGATTCGTGCCAAAGGGGTTCCATATTCCTTTCGCCCCCTTCCCCTCTCGGTTCGCGCAAGTCCCGGATCCCGAAGTCGCCGTCCAAAGTTTCGGCAGACGCCGAGAGTTTTGCAAAGATGGAACGGTCCATCAGCGGATGCCAATCACTTTTTGGGGGGGGGACCTTGGTTTTCAGACCAAGAAATGGGAAGAGGAGGGGAGTGGAGAGGCGCCCACAGCTCCTCTGCTGAGGAAGTTGGCAACGAGGAGGGGGGGAGAAAGCTAGGTGGGCCAAGATGGGTTTGTAAGAGTCGGTCTTGTTATGCTGTTAGTTGGCTGTCTTCGGAGTCGCCGCGGGTAGGTTTTCGCAGCCGGATTTCTTGATCCTGCTGGAGATAAAAGAGGAAATTTTTATTTGATTGGGCTTTGGAGGGTCCTCTCGCGGAGGCATTCTGAGATATTATGGTTTGGTGTCTCCGGCCCGTACAAATCTGGTGACTGCCCAGCGTCATGTCGATCGATGATTTGTATCCTGCCTTTTATTATTTTTACAAATAACTCAAGGCGGTGGATATGTCCAACACACCTTCCTTCCCCTGTTTCCCCACAACAACAATCTTGTGAGGTGGGTTGGGCTGAGAGGCAGATTGGCCCAAAATCACCCAGCTGGCTTTCATGGTTAAGGTGGGACTAGAATTACCTATCTCTTGGTGATTGGCTCAAAGTCACCAGCCGACTTTTGGACTAAGGCGGGACTAGAACTCACCGTCTTGGTGATTGGCCCAGAGTCACCCAGCTGGCTTTCATGGCTAAGACGGGACTAGAACTCACCATCTCCTGGTGATTGGCCCAAAGTCACCCAACTGGTTTTCATGGCTAAGACGGGTAGAACTCACCATCTCCTGGTGATGGGCCAGAGTCACCCAACTGGTTTTCATGGCTAAGACAGGACTAGAACTCACCATCTCCTGGTGATTGGCCCAAGTCCCCAACTGGTTTTCATGGCTAAGACAGGACTAGAACTCACCATCTCCTGGTGATGGGCCAGAGTCACCCAACTGGTTTTCATGGCTAAGACGGGACTAGAACTCACCATCTCCTGGTGATTGGCCCAAAGTCACCCAACTGGTTTCATGGCTAAGAGGACTAGAACTCACCATCTCCTGGTGATGGGCCCAGAGTCACCCAACTGGTTTTCATGGCTAAGACGGGACTAGAACTCACCATCTCCTGGTGATTGGCCCAAGTCACCCAACTGGTTTTCATGGCTAAGACGGGACTAGAACTCACATCTCCTGGTGATGGGCCCAGAGTCACCAACTGGTTTTCATGGCTAGACGGGACTAGAACTCACCATCTCCTGGTGATTGGCCCAAAGTCACCCAACTGGTTTTCATGGCTAAGACAGGACTAGAACTCACATCTCCTGGTGATGGGCCCAGAGTCACCCAGCTGGCTTTCGTGCCTAAGGCGGGACTAGAACTCACCATTCCTGGTGATGGGCCCAAAGTTACCCAACTGGTTTTCATGGCTAAGAGGACTAGAACTCACCATCTCCTGGTGATGGGCCAGAGTCACCCAACTGGTTTTCATGGCTAAGACGGGACTAGAACTCACCATCTCCTGGTGATGGGCCCAGAGTCACCCAACTGGTTTTCATGGCTAAGACAGGACTAGAACTCACATCTCCTGGTGATGGGCCCAGAGTCACCCAGTGGGCTTTCATGCCTAAGGCAGGACTTGAACTCATAATCTCCTGCTTTCTAGCCTGGTGTTTTTAGCCACTAGGCCAAACTAATAATCAGGACCGGTCATATGGTGCCTCAATTTACAATCGCACCAAATGAAACTTTGATTTTAGGTTTTACTGATTAGACTGATTCGTTGTTCTAGAAATGGCTAGTTAATACTGTCATGTAAAAGTAAAAATAAAAATAAAAATAAATTGAGGTTAGATGTTACTGCCTTATTCTACTGCACCAGAGGGAGTCTGGAAGTCATTTTTTTTTTTCATTTCCCCCTTCTTTTCTATCCTTCTCCCTTCCTCTATTTTTCCTACAATTTGCTTCCGTCCTTTTGTATTTTATATTGTAAACTAATAAAAACTGTAAACAAGAAGAAAAAGAAAAACTTCGTTTAGTATATGATTGTTAATTGTTATACCCTGTATTTTGTTCCGGGAAGTTCGGGGGTGGTGGGGGGAGGGGGGAGGGTAAAGAAGGGAGGGGAGGATGGGGAAATATTTGTAAAATTTTTTGTAAAACTCTTTAATTAAAAAAGAAAAAAGAAAAAGAAAAAGAAAAGGACTACGGCTCTTTGACCTGCAAGAGATCTAATATTCAACCCTTCTTAAATCAAACCAGATGACTCCCACTGCCGGGGGTGAGAAATTGGGGGGGGGGAGCTGACAGGGAGACCCCAAAAGTTATAGGGTTATATTTACGGAGTCGGAATATTCTTCCGTCTGGCTACTCAGGAAATTGACGTAGTCATCTTTTTGGATGTCAAAGATCTCCTCTTCGTATTCGGTCTGGTAGTCGGATTCGTCTGAACGGGAGAAAAGTCGGTTTGTTTTAAGCCAGGATCAAGATCGGAAGGAGAACGCTAAACTGACATCCTCATACTGGATTGCCTGTAGAGCCACCGGCTTCTTCTAGCGAATGAAATAGGAGCAACTATCCAAAATATTAGCATCCTTGGTTTGTTTGTTTTTTAAAAAAATAATACAGGTAGCCCTTGACTTATCGCAATTCGTTTAGTGACCGTTTTTTCACACCTACTACCACTGCAGCATCCCCCACGGTCACGTGGTCAACGTTCAGCGGCTTGGCTCTGAATTTATGACCGTTGTAGCGTCTCCCTTTTGCGACCACCTGAGAAGCCAAGTCAACGGGGAAGCCGGATTCACTTAACAACCCGGTCACTGACTTATCAACGGCCATGATGAATCCCTTAAACAACGGTGGCGAGGAAAGTCGTAAAACGGTCAGCAAAGCTCACTCGATGACAGAATGTCTCGCTTAACGACAGAAATGTTGGGCACAGTTGTGGTGGTAGGTCGAGGACTTACCCGCATGAAATGAACTGATGTTCCAGGTGTGGAAATCTGTATGTCTAACACACAAGTCGATCCCGATCGTAATAGAGGACAGTGATGGCTAACCTTTTTGCCGTCGCGTGCCAAAAGCGTGGGGAGCGTGGGGGGGGTCTCTCTTGTGAGTGCTCACACCCATAATTCAATACGCCCCCCTGTGCATGCACGTGCAACCCCCTTCTCGCGCTCCCCCCGCTTTTGGCACGCGATGGCACAATGGGCCCAGTAGGCCTGTTTTTTCACCCTCCCCAGGCTCCAGAAGCTTTCTAGGAGCCTGGGGAGGGTTAAAACAGCCTTCCCCATTCCCCCAGAGGCTGGAAACGGCCCATTTCCTGGCTTCCGATGGGTCCAGAAGGCCTGAAAATCAGCTGGCTGGTGCACGCATGCACACTGGAGCTGAGCTGGGGCAATGCTCGCAAGCCCACAGATATGACTCAGTGCCATAGGTTCGACACTTAACCCCAGTGTCCACCACGAGGGATGTCGTTTATACGTTTGGGTGGAGTTCTGGACCAGCGATGATGTTGTCCAGTTTGGGTCACAAAACGTCCTCAAGAAAACCAGAGTGCATTTCAACCCTGAGCTACGAATATTCTCCTTTACTGATCATGGCCTCCCTCCCTCCCTTCCCTCCCTCCCTCCCCTTCCCTCTGGTTTGCTCACCATCCACTATAATGGCCTTCACCGGTTCAATTCGGGAGACGATTTCGGCCAAATCCGTGAAAGAGGTTGTCGGGCATGTCACATACTGAAAGAGGAGGAAAAGAAAAAAAAGGAAGAAAGAATGAGCACTGCTGGGTATCTCGGGCGTGGTCTCAGGCCCAAGAAACAGAGCCTTGGTAGTACAGGTGTTTAAGGCACCCTGTTATTAAGCTGGTTATTAAGACCAGATGCCTGCAATTACTGCAGGTTCGAATCTCGCCAAGGCTCAAGGTTGACTCAGCCTTCCATCCTTTCTAAGGTAGGTAAATTGAGGACCCAGTTTGTGGGGGCAATAAGCTGACTTTGTATAAATATACAAAAGGATGAAGGCTATTGCTGAGCACATTGTAAGCCGCCCTGAGTCTCCGGAGAAGGGCGGCATATAAATCAAATTAAAAAAAAAACAAAAAAACTTTTCTCTCTTCCTGCCTACCGGACATTCCAAGCTCTGCTGCCTCTTTAGCCTCCGGGAAGCAGCCCTTCTCTCCTTCCCTCCCTCCCTCCCTCCCTCCCTCCCTCCTGAGAGCTATTTCCTCTCCTTGCTAACACTGATGACGTTAGCTAGTTTGGTAATGAAATGTCTGCAAGAAAGCCATCAAGCTGACAGCACCAAGGACCCTACAGTCCTGTTCCTCCTCCTTCTCTTCTCAAACCCCACTCCC